CCATCTCAGAACATGAGATTGCATCAGTCTTGTCAACAGAGGATCAAGAATATGAATCACATTGCCAGCAGACTGGAATTTGTATTAAATGTATCAATAAGTAGTGTGTTCACATCATGACTGTGCTTGCCAGAAGGCTTGTATTCTCTATGATGAAGTACAATTTTTCCCATCACTAAGTCAAAAGCTGGAGCCACTCAGCATTAAATCATTTGAGGCCAGACATCTATTAACACATTTAGAGACACGGGCAAACATTTCCAATATACTGTGATAGCTAGCAGATAATTTATTCCTATTATCTCTTCAAATGTGGTCATAGAGATAATAACTGAACTCAAGAATAAGCTGAGGAATACAAGACCAGCTTCTTAAAGCAACAGTTTTTATTTAATGTATACACAACTCAATGTATAAATATGAAACAAATTTTTAATGCTTTGTGCCAAAATTCAGCTTTGCATAGCTTCATGGAATTCAGTGCACAGAACAATAATCTTGGAACCAAAGAAAATATCTGTATCTTTCAGCTAAATAAAATAGCGACATCAGAGATAGAGTTGCATTTTTGATTGAAATCATGCCTTTTATATTATTTCAACTTCAGAACTGGTATACATATGTTGCATTGTGCCAAGTTTATGTTTTGTTTTAAAACTTACTGTAGGTTATATGCTGATTTAATTTAAATAATGATGATGATGATGACAATGACTATGATGATGACAATAATATCAAGTCTTTCTTGTATGTGGTTTTGATATCTGTTACTGCATCAGTTCTCTTGAAAAGTGGTTACTGGGATGTAAGGTGATGTCTGTCTCTAGTTCTATCCAACCCTCCAGCCATAATTTTCATAGATTTTCAAAGTCAAATGGTTTTGTTTGGCATTTTTTCAAACTCCTTTACCAGGTGGTACTGAAATATTTCCTCCACAAGGTTCTACCAATTCCTGTGTGGTTAACTCAGAATTTGGGAGATTTGTTGCTCAAATTTGGGTAACAAACACTTTTAGCAATTTTTGGTAAGTATACTGAAATGGATGCAAGAAATATAAATACACAATTCTGAAGTTCTTTCAGAGTGTCAGTCAAGATATAAAAAAACATTTGATTAACACAATAGAACTTGAACATGTTTTTGCAATGCATTTCTAGGGCAACATTCGAATGGAAATTCAAGAAGCCTTTGGTTAGAGTTTAATTACCTCCAACATTCATTATAAAACTGTACTCTTCCTTTCATTTCTGAAGAAGTGAAGCACTAGTAATGGAAATTTTACAGAGGGCTTGTAAAGATGTCCAGAATTTGCCTTCTTAAGGAGATGACAGGAGCATCATATAAGCCCAAGAAAAAGACACAGCTTCTATCCCTTTGTTTCAGAGAGGTGAAGACAACCTGGGCTACCTCTGCAAGAGATCAGGGCAGGAAGAGTTTGGGAACTGTACCGCAGATCATGAGGCTCTACCTAGGACCGTGAGAGCATAGAGGGGCCTGGGGCTGGCACACATAGGACTGATAAGGTGGGTTTTGGGAAAGCAGTTGGAGTTTTGATGTAGTAGCACAAATTATATCTGGTTTTATTTCTGATTTTCTAACAGTGTCATTTCATTTCAATTTCAATCTATATGGATCAGCTAATACAGTAGTAAATAAATTATTTGTGATTGCTCTACAGCAAGTAATACATTTCCCCTTTGAACTGTTTTCCTTTGCAATCCTGTTTTACTGCATCTGTGAATTATCTGGTTTACAATGATAGGTGTTTCCTGTAGATACCCAGGGCATTCAGGACCAAATCCCTACCTTATGAGGACAAGAAATATCTTGCTTTTTTAAAAATTCTGTTTTGTTTTGTTCTCTTTTTTCCTCACTTTTTTTTTTTCCCCCCTGAGGAATCCAACCCAAACTGGATTTGACTGAAAGAACTAAGTAGCTGGATCATCTTGCTTTGCCTTTGTCTGCTCATGATACTCTTCAGCCAAGAATAGCTAACATTCACAAGCTCTCGAGGACACTTTTATCTTGGCCATGTGTTCAGGAATTAGACAATGCAGCCACGTCTGCATGCCATGTCTGCCTTGCATAATAAACTCTGCCAGTTCCAACTTGGGTGTCCACATCTCACTGCCAGTCTTCTCCCAACAACACAGAGACAGCAGCCGGTTTTTTTGACCTGATAACAGGTTACCATTGTCAGAACTAAGTGATCAAAGTGAAATTGGTGGGACTTTAGTTTGGCATCATCTTTAAAATTTGTCAGCATCATTTCGTTGAAAGATTAAAGAGATTATCACCTGACACCTCTGACTTCAGTATTCACTATTTACAAGTATCTGAACTTGGACTGGCTATGAAAATACAGCAGCAATTCTGTAGAATAACAGAATTATCAAAATATAATGTAAAGAATGCAAAATGCATGCTGGGATTTTCCTTTCATTATACTAGGGATTTTTGGTTGTTTTTTTTTTTTTTTTTCCCCTAATAAATCTATACAAAATTAATAGATTACATTGCCTTTGATTCTTCTTATCTGTACTGCAAAACATAAACCAATGATTTTTAAGAAAGAACCTAAATCATTATTCTGAACTGTGTTTTTCTAAAGTGGTATCAAAACATTGCAAAGCAAAAAAAACCAAACCAAAACAAAACAAAACACCAGATAACCAGAAACTATGGTGCAGTGCCAGTTTCAACAACATAGCCATTCTCTTCAAGACTGTGAAGTTGTATGCTATGCATTTTTCTGCTTAAAAATGATTTGTGTGAGAAAACAGAATCTAGGCATTGATGACAAAGGCTTTAATCTGATAACTGGATTTTTTATTTCACACGTGCTTCCACAGTGCCTCCAGGGACTTGTACGTTCGAGCTTCTGATTCTCCCATATGGATTAAACACCTTGGCCAGACTACAGTGATGTCTCACAGTCATCCCTCCTAATGAGACACTCTAATGTCTATTAGAAATCTAAGTGACAGTGAATTTGAATAGACATACTTCAGCTGAAGAATCAGAATACAGAGGAAATCAGAGGCGCAAATTAAATTAAATTTTTAAATGTCTTTTTCTCTGAGAAATAATAAAAGTTCTGTAAAGGACACTTTATCAGGAAAAAAAAAAAAAAGTGCTCAAAATGAATTTTCCATCATTTGAAAATGAGTTTTGATGGAATATGTGAACCAGAACTGAATTCCCTACTGAGTGTGTTTGTCAGGAGTCAGCGGTGCCCATGGAGCAGACAGGGCAGGCCATATGGGGTAGTGGCTTACATCTGGAAAATGCAGCCCAATCCACTTTGCTAGAAAAAGAAAGCAGGAATACCTGCCACTCAGATACCTCCTGATGGACTGAAATTAAAGTGTCCATGGCCTGTAGTTTGACACTGTAGTACAGTAACCTTTATTTTTCTTCTTAACAGCAGAACTGACCTCAGGGGAAAGAAAACAAAAGAATCAGCAAGATAGCACTTGAGAGACAAAATCATCGTTTCAAACATTACAGACAGTGAGCATTCATTATTGAACTTCAGAAGTTCTGACATTTCATTCATTACATGATCAAAGTATCTGAAATATGGACAGTCAATATTGCTCTCAGATTTTTATAGAACACATTGAGCTACTGTTACTTGAGAAATTAAGCTCTACCAAATTATTTATAGAGCCAGTAAAAAATACGTGAGCAAGGCAGAAATGCAAAGTAGTAGCAGTTACACTTTTAAAATATCAGAGGCCAGATCAAGTCGTATAAAATGACATGGCTCTACTGCAGTCTCTGAGCAGTCCCGTGACTAATGTCGGTTCTGGGTCTGGATGATTATTTGCATGCGATTTGAATGCCTGTTTTCCTTGCAAATGTATACCTGTTGAGGCTTTCAGTGTGTTTTGCTGCAAATCCAGTAGTACAATGACACAGGTAATTCCTTGAAGCATTTCTATTTATAGTTTCCTTCAACACTGCATATTTTACTATGTAACTAACTGCAATCAAAGGAAGTGGAAAAACAAAAAAAAACCCCACCTTTGACCATTGAATTAAGTCATAAGGGAGAACCTAACCAAGAGCTAATTTGAATGAAAGTTTTAGCAAGTCAGTGGCTGAATACAACAAATATCCTAGCAATGGTATAGATTATATCTTGGATGTTCATACCCCAGACACTATCTGAGTTAGAGAATTGCTCTAACTGGGGACATGTGGAGTAGACCAACTATTAATTAAAGAGATGGGGGCAGGGGGCAGGGGGGCACAGCAAGAAAAAAGTATCAATTGCAATTATAATAAGAGACTTCATGCAGACTCTTCCCATTCTTGTCTGGTTCTAGTACTATATTCATCCACCTTCCTCCTCTTCCTACTTGCTGGACATTTGTTCTTGCCAGTTGGACTGGGACATATAAAATCATAAATAAGAGAAATATTGTGGTTTTATCCCTATCTGGTCTAACTATATGGGAAATAGAAATGATAGAATATTCAGTCATATCACCACACATTAACCTGAAGTGTAACTATTCATTGTACAGCAGCACTTCACACAATTCAATAAGTATTTAGTTTAAATGAATATTTCTTTGAGTATAGTTTAAAGATTATTATAAAAATCCCACTTTATAGGCTTTCCATTGAAATTTAAGATTGCTAACAGTAATAAAAATGAAACGTGAGTAGCCCTGATGAAACGTAGTATAATGTAGGCAGATGATATGCAAATATCACCAAGAATTTCTGTGAATGCAGCTCTATTCTCACCTGAAAGTGTCTTGCTGATATTCTGTCCATACTCTGATTAAATTGCAGACACTGAAAGGGGAATAAATAGCTACCTGGATAAACCACCCACAAACTAGCAAGCAAATGGCATTTTGAGATAAAAATATGCAGATTTATTTTTACCACAAAGGGGAAATAATCGAATTTGAACCTGAAGGGGTTCTAAGCACCCTCTGTCGATAAATTGCATGCCAGAAAAAATAGATCTGAATACCAAATGAAAGTGTACATTCCTGGTGCCTATTTTTATTTAAAATATGTATACATGTGCGTGTACATCTGGGGAGTTTCAGTTAACTGCTTGCACATCAGGGAATGCAAGGAAGATAAAATCCTGTGGTGTGAAGCCACAAGCCTGGACTGCTACTCTGCTGCTGACCTCCTGAGAGCCACAAGTGCATTTGAAACTGAAGTAGGTGTTCAGTGTCACAAGGGCACTGAATTCTTTTTAGAAAAATGATACTAAGCTGCTAGGCATTTTATAAAAGTATATAAAGAGTTAACTGAAAACAGGTATTAACAATAGCTGGCAATGGATTTTTCAGACTTTCTCAAGATTTGTCAAACTGTCCCCCAATCACACCAGAATGATGGTTCATGGTTCATGGTTCAATTTGAACACATATTCAAGTCTAATTATGTCAGATTCCGTTTAAATTATGTTTCAATTTATTGGATTAGTTGTAAAATTTTATTATTTACAAATCTGTGCACAGAAAAGAAAGTACTTTAGGATGTAAAATGTCTAAGAGATTTTTATGTATCTTTGTCAGTCTTTACAAGAATTCATTCTGCTACCACAGTGGTGATGGAAGTACTGAGCCAGGCTTGCACAACACAGAAACTTCTTGCACATGCTACAGAACTGCAGAGAAATATATTTACACAACAAAAGACACTTTTCCAGCTTCCTTACCCACAAAACAAGGGACAGTGGTAAAATACCAATAGGCCTTGTGAACATAGCAAGGGTAACAAAACAACAAAAAGCATTCAACATTTATGTAGAAGTACTGTTTTCCTCAGGGTCTCTGTCTACGAGATGAATGCTCCCCGTGATCACTGATTCCTCTTGAGCCGAGGTGTTTTCCAGCTGCTTATTTGTGCAATATGGAATGTGGCCACAAAAATACATGTAAATCCACGGGTTGGTGCAACTATTTAAATTGCCAAGGAGCATGATAATGGTGAATGCCGAACCTAGAATGAAATAGTTAAAGGAATAACAGAGTAAATAAAGCGATCGTACAAATAAGGAACATTTGCACAGTCTGCTGCTTTCTGGTGTACCTGCTCATATATTAGTTAATCTAGTAGTAGGAAATTGCCATTTATTCCATGCAGTCTGTTATTGTTGAAGGCATGAAGCACGCTGTATTGCATGCATTTCGGGGTTGAGTAGTTCTATGTAGCTCTTTTTTTATGTAGCTGCATTAAATTTAAAAGCAATCGCTAACCTGCTAGATAGATAGAGATAAATACATATATAGATATTGATATAAATATATCTACAGTAAGACTGAAATTTTCACTGACAGAAAGAATTCTTAAAACAAAGATCAGAAGCTTTTTTTGTCATCAGACAGAGCTCTTATCTTTTCTTTCTCCTTTGGTTTATATCTTTGAGTTTAGAATAGGTGAACTTTATAAAGTCACATACAGAGTCTGTCTTTCACAAAAAGGCAACAGGGAAAGTTTGACAAGATTAATCTTGTTTACAACATGGTATTCTTTGATATCTTTCTCGGGGTTGATTTTTTTGCTTTATAAGCAGCTGTTTCACAACTTTTATTTGTTTCATAGTGTACTACAGAGACTTCATCAATATGATTTCAATATTAAAAAATAAAATAAAATCAGATGTCTTATAACATCACTGTGCTATCCAGTAAATAAGAAATCTTTACTTTTTAAATTTGAATAGTTAATTATGCCTTTTTTCCTCAAGAACCCAAAATACTGCTCCTACAATATCTAAAACCTCTAAAAGTCTGAACCCTTGCCGGAGCAGATGATCTACTTTTTCCTGTGCTGTTTATTAACCTTCAAATCATTAATCACTCAAAACATACACACACACACAAAATACATTATATGATGTTTTGATCACAGAACACATGAAGTTTTCTGTACCTAATTAAATAAAGCAGATAAAATAAATCCGGCATTTTCTTTCAAATAATACTCAAATGATCGCATGTAACTTTTACACAATAGTAAAGTGCAAATATAAAGCAATACAGCTTTGTGCTAGCCTGCTATGAAGTTACAAATGAGGATGGAGAGTATCTTACCTTCAGTCACAACACTGGGGAACCACACAGACCACAGCTGTGCAATGAAGAAAGGTGACCAACAGAGAACATACGCAACAACTGTCACCACTGTCATTTTTACAGTCTTGATCATAGCCTTTGAAATACAGTTCACGCTGCTCGCTCGGGATGGCAGGACTTGCTTCTGATTTGTTACTTCGTATTCATTCTGTTTTTTCACATGTATATTTCTTTTGATTATTTTGCAAATCTTAACCTGGCACATGACAAGGATGGCTGAGGGAATGAAGAATATAACTACAAAAATCCAAGTCACATATGCCCTTGGGCCCCATGGCTGAATAAATTCAGCCCAACATTCAAAGATACCTGGAGATATTTCAGTCTTAGAAAAGATAAATACCTGTGGTAGGCTAAGAATCAGTGATATAGACCAGCTGGTGCAAATGGGGATGTTCCAGAGAGCTCTCTTCTTCTGGAAAGTGACCATAGGGTAGCAAACTGCTTGATATCTGTCCACTGTCATGACCACTATCATATAAGTAGAGGCAAACATGCCCAGCAATTGTAGATACTTGATAATTCTGCACAAGAAATCTGGCCCTATGAAAACGTCTGTAATATCCCATATGAGTTGAGGCAGCACTTGAAAAAAGGCTACCACTAAGTCAGCGATGCTGAGGTGAAGCATGAATACATACATCCTAGAGAGCTTCTTTCTTCTTCGCCACAGCACCAGTATGAGAATAAAATTGCCCACAGACGCTGTCAGAAATATGACCCCCAGCACAGCAATCTCTACTTGAGCTAATTGCTCATCTCTTTCTGGTCTTCCAACAGGATCTGACTGATTTGTCAAACCCGGGAATCTGTGAGGAGAAGGACTCTCGGTCTGATGTGTGTTATCCTGCATAGGAAATGAAAAATTCTTCATAGTGCACAGAAGCTACTCACAGTAGCTGCCACTTGCGACTCAGGTTGACAGCTGTGAAGTACTGGCTAGCAAACAAACCAGCCCGGGGCTTCAGGTTTCGGTCTATCTTCAAGCAAATCTCCTCCTGCTTGTGCGAACTAAAGCAGTGGGACCTGGATCTTGATAAAATTCTGTCTCTTGCTGGCGTGCAAAAAGGCTTTATATAGGCTCCCAGCAGAGCCTTATGTAACTGCAGAGCCCTCGGGTAGGCTGCAGGGACCGCAGCCAATGGCAGACCGAGCCACACAATTGGGGGAAATATATAAATAAAAGGCAAACTTCAGAGGCTCAACGTAATTCAATTACTCACTTTAGTCAAAGCCCGAACTTGTAAATAGCTGTGGCCAAAATCATGCTTAAATGATCTTACTCGGGAGAGTTCTTGCAAATATTTTTTTTACGCAAACCAGAAGTGCATGCTTCGGCTGAAGCCGGAGGAATGTTTACACGTAGATGGAAAGTTGGGCCCCTGAGCCCAGGAGCATCATAACTGCAATTCTCTAGGCTCCTGGGGCATGACCACATCCTAAATGCAGCATAGACAAAGAAATGCATTTTTTCCATAGCTTTTTATTTTCCCTTCTCTTTTCTGAAGTCACCTGATTCTGGAAAAAAAAAGGAAAGAAAAAAAAAATAATTTAACTGCCCTAAAAATAATCTTTTTATTGCAGGAACGGGGTCAAGACTTAGAGGTTTTTTCTCAGCAAAATGAAAAATAACACATGTGAAATAAATTACTTCTAATGGGACTGTGAGTCTACTGAGAATTTAATAGAAAAATAAGTGAAAATTCAGTGGGAAATCCAACTGAGGAAAAGGTCTCTACAATGAAACAGTTTCCAAGGGTCGCTATTCTACTATAGTCCTAAAGGCTAGGAGGTCATTTTTCAGTACCTAATCCTTTTTGTTTTCATTGAGTAAGCTGTATCATGACCACAAGAACTTAATTGTTCTTCAGTCTTCCAGTTTGACTTTGCATATTGTTACTGGCAGATAAGAAGACCAATTTTGATTTAATCTTATTTTTTCTCCCTCAGTCTGCCCTCTTAATCACAAAAGATAAAATGAGTTAATTTAATATGAAAGATAACGTATATTTGTATGCAAGCTTGTCTGAAGCTAGAGCACTCATATCCTTTTGGTTACAGTTGGGAGACTGGTAATTTGAAGTCTTTCTGAAGAGGAAACCGATAAGGTTAAAAGTATGACTGTGCCGCATGTATAGTGCATAACACTGCACCTACATTGATTAATCTCTGTGATCATGACTGTGTTATAAAATCAGCCGAGGAGCCTCACAAACAGACTGCTGTCCCTCTGGCACTAAAAGTTTTCATGTATCAACAGACAAAGGATGGGCAAAATTCATAAGCAGGATACTGAGAGAGACTACAATGGTTTATGAAAACAGCATGATCTCCTCTCTCTCTCTCTTTTCCCCTTCCATCCCAGCACAGGACTGATGTTAATATCTCAAACAAGGGTAACACTATGAGAACAGGTGACAGAGAAGCTCAACACCCTCGGGATGCTTTGCCACCAACAGCGGCTATACGTACCCATGATCCAGATTTGGCTGAACACTGCTGCAGCTGCCTGACCCTACAACAGCTTTTCTCTATGACCGTGTTGCAAAGAGTCATAACAACTTAATCTAATATACCTGATAATTTTTTCCTAAATTGAAGCCTGTTTGTAGGAAACTTGGATTCCTGAGGTTGTTTCATTTTAGTTTTTCCCCCAGTTTGGTATTTATCCTGAAACAGCACTGCAAGACTGTAGGGAACAAATGGTTTTGCCTATACCCTCACCCTCCCTTCACCCATCACCTTCCAGAAGAATAACTGAATTGGCCACAGACCATGAATCCCTGGCAATTCTGCTGATGGCAGACACTGCGCTGCAGAGCAGGCTGGCTGATCTCCAGTTCTGCCTCAGATGGAGATGTGTGTGCTCCAAAGCTTCAAGCGTGTGCTCCAAAATAATTTCCTTTGCCCACCCTCACTCCATGAGTTAACAAAAAGCCAGGTGGAATCTTTATTCTTCTTGCAGGATGCCGGGTAGCTATCTACATTTAGGCAGAGCTAGGACTAAGAGGGTTGAAAGAGGAATATGCTCAACAGAAAACTGAGCCCAGGGTCAGACATGAAAGGTAAATTCACATTTCATGATCTGAAAGATGATCATGGCATTATACGTAAAAAGACCAGAATATGCAACACAAATCACTTTTGGGATACTATTAGAAGACTAACCAGAATATAGTGCCAGAAGCATACATTTATATGATTTTCACAATGCATAATGTATGGGTAGACACACCTTTTGGGCCTGTTTTAGCGCCTACACCTAGAGTAGCTAAACAAGCTCCCTGGGAACAGGCAACTCTTCCCAGGCGTACAGGCCTACACAGCACACGCTGTCTGGGCAGCAGACATGCTATAATAGGTGTCAGACCCAGCATGAGGACATAGGGTAAAGGGCAAGCAGGCTGTGCAAGAAGTAGCCTTTGCCATGTTTATAAAAAGGGAGGTGGCCCTCCTTGTACAAGTTGTCCTCGTGATGTAAGACTCTACTCCATCTTGCATATAATCACTTCAATATATGTTAATGATTTCGTAACTTTACAATTGTACCCTTTCCATCTTTCTCATCCACGCTAGCAGACATTCAGAATAATGTTATATTGAAATTGAATCCACTCTGGGATTATAATTCACTGAGAAAAGAAAAACAGGATAACAGATGAAAATGTTTAAGAAGTCTTAGCTGTTCTTTTACTCTAATATTATCCTTCTCCTGCTGCCCAGCTTTGCTTCATTCCAAACCATATCTGTCCAAGTTAAATTCTTTTTCTAAATTGTTTACTTTCAGTAGTGTGGAAAGCCACATCTTAATTAACTTCTGCTGAATTTCTCAATGTCAGCTGTCATCTAATGTTTGTTGATTAGCTAGTAGGGAGGGATATAGCTCATGGAGTAAGACTTAAGTTTAGGTGTCTGGTTAGAATTACAGAAGCACACAGCTGCTCAAAGCAGGGACAGCACTGAATTCAGGCCAGTTTACTTAGGGTTCGTCCCTAAGTAGAGACCCCACAACCTCCCTGGGTAACCAGTTACAAATTCACAATTATTTTAATTGTGGAAAAGCTTCCTTATGTGCCACCAGACCCTCCCCTGATTCTGACCACCATCTCATGTTCTTCTGCTGTGACCTCATTAAGAGCCTGGCATGGACTTCTTGTCAGCCTCCCCGTAGGTACCAGAGGGCACTGTTAGCCCCCTTGAAGCTGTCTCTCCTCCAGGTTGAAGAAGGTATACTGAGAGCCTTGCAGAAGATGTTGTACTCGAGGAGTTAGTGACCCTGAACAGGACATGGCTGCTCTACTGGGCCTTGTACTTAAAGACTGTGCCCTGTGCTAGTGAATACTATGACAGAGATGACATCCCAGCCTGTCAGGAGAAGATACATGAGTATGCTGCACAAAATAAAAGGCTCCATGGCATGGGATGGAGGAGGAACCCCTCCACAGACAGCACCTGTGCAGCTTGCTGGTGTCTGTCCAATGCTGCACAAAAGTGGGGTTCCCAGCATCAGAAGGGACCTAAGATTTCCTTGCTATCTATATTCCTGGTTTTACCAAGTCTTTCAAAAACAGCTATTTTACCTCATCCTTTATTGTTGCACCCCGCTGGTGCAGAGCACAAGGCCAATTCACTCAGCCTCTCCCAACAGGTAACATCTTCCTGTCTTCTGATGATCCTCGTGGCCCTATGCTGAGCTCTTTCAAGCTCATCACACCTTTCCTGCGCAGGGGCTCCACAGCCAGAGGCAGCATTACAGATGTGGTAAAACGAGTGCTGAGTAGAGGGGAATAGGCACTTCCCTCAGCCTATGGCTTACGTGTGAGCTGTGTGTGTCAACTCCCACCACATCCAAAGGGAATCAAGGCTTCATTTCAGCACCTAAATGTAGGTACAAAGTACTGTTTGAGTTGCCCTAGAGTATCTGAGATGGCCCAAGGCTCATTTAGTATAGGCTTTACCCTATCGATTGTGGAACAATTTAACTTTATCAACTCTTTCCATGGAGTTTACTAAGTGTATTATTTTTAAAATATTATATCGGAAGATGAGATATTGCCTACTTTGTTATTATTGTTGTAATTTGCAAAATTCCAACATTATGCAATTAACAATTCCCTCATCCATTCTCTGGCATTTGATACTCCAAATCTGTGGTACTGTCAAGTAATCCATCTGAATTTACTGAGCCTACATGAGATGTAAATCAAGTAAGCATTTTTTCTGTACTTGTAGTTGGGTAATCATTTCAAGTCACTTTATTGTTCAAGGAAATATTTTCAAAGATAGGATTTAGGCAAATCTCAGAAACAATTTCTCCTGTGGAAACAATTCTGACTATACTAGCCTGAGTACCTTAATTGTAGCATCACTGAATCGTAGAAATATTGGTTGGAAGAGAGTATGTTAATCATAGAATCACTGAATCATCAAAATGTTGGTTGGAGGGGACACCTTGAGGTCTTCCTCCAGAGCTTAACTGCCTGTTGAAATGAGACTATCGACACCACTAGGTCAGGTCAGACATAGCTTTGTCCAGCCGGGTCTTGAAATCATGCAAGTATGGAAATTCCACCTCTCTGGGCAGCCGACTCCAGTGCTCTTTGTGAAGAATTACTTCCTGAGGAGCCTTCAGAACCTCTCACAGTGGCTGCTGTCTCCTATTAGATCACTTGCCACCACTGAGAATAATTGGTTCCATCAATTCCATAGATGTCCTTAAAGTACTTATAGGCTGGTATTAGATTACTCGTTAATCAAATCTTTGCCCAACTGAACAATCCTTGTCTTCCAAAAACTGCATGAATTGCAGTGTATTGTAGATGCTTTTTGCCAAGCCAGGCAAGGAATACATGCTGAAGCAGAAATATGTGCATTTTAGTGTTAAAAGCCCCCCCCACTTCTAAAAAAACAGAAACCATTTCATCTTATGACAGACATTACTTATTAAATACAACTTGCAAAGATAATAGGTTTGCACTCCTTTACTTTGGAATGCATAAACAAGTTCTAAAAAGTTCCTATTTAAGA